CCTTGCAGCTCACTGAGAAACTGAGAAACTAAAGGGAGTTAAAAAACAGCTTATTTGATTTTTGCTGTTCAAACTGAAAGAAAAGCAAAAAGTGAACAACCACCTTAACTAGCAGGGAGTGAGGAGGATCTTTAAAATTCTCAAGTTTGGGCTATCGCATCTGGTATATTAAACCTGACACTGTCCCTGTAGTAAAGCCGTTTCCTTTTAATCTTTCTTTAGAAAAAACAACAGAACAGCAAATTAAACGCAATCCTCTCCTCAATCCTCAATTCCATGCTATTTCAGTGTTGACGAATCAGGTCATGTAATAATAAAATTCCTGCAGAAATATGATCTTAACTGTGTAACCTTCAAATTGCAGTTATGCTGCTGTGTGCGTTTAATACTGTACTTGACATTCCCCTTTTCCATTTCACTTCTGGATGACATTAGGATCTGCAACAAGGACCTCCTTCAGCTCTCCCAGGTTACCATTTATTTTAAAGTATCCCCAAGGTCTCCAGCACCGTTTAGATCAAACTTGCAAAAGTCACTGGTACTAGCAGTTTTTGCGGGTCCCTCGAGTTGTTTCTGAAAACAGGTTCCATTGTGTTCATATTATGCTTTTAAATTTTATAGCTTATTTTTAAATTACATGTTAATTTCTAAAAATGTTAAATTGCGAGGAAAAGTTGGCAAGGACCACACAAAATCACAGCACTGTTCTGCAGCTTGCGTGTGTCTCTCTGTAGTACTTATGTGCATGGCTATACCCTTACATTTAAGTGCTCTGTATGAATGCGGGCCTGATCCTGCAGCGTGCTGAGGGTCTCATCAGAGGTGCTCAGTCTGCTGCAATAAATGACCCAGGATCATGCTTTATAAATCACAAACTTTGCAGGATCCAAGTGAAAGTAAGAAAGGAAGCTGTGAGGAAAAAAAAGGCAGTAGTAATGAAAACATCAGAAACAGAGCACACTCCTGAGTACAGATGTCTAAAAATGGAGATCAAACATCTTCAGAAATCAACCAGTCATTCAAGAGTTTTTTTTAAAGCCACCCTCCTTTCCAGACCTGCAAGTCTTTAGTTTCCTCACTATTTTTATTTGTTATGGCTTTTCTACTGTGCTAAGTAACACATAAAGTGAAATCAATGAAAATCTGCCTACAGAAAAAAGTTAGAAAACTCCCTGTCCTGCCATTTCATCTCTCTCTCTCTCATTTTAATTTTTGCTTCGTTCACCAACAGCAGCTCACCAGACAGCGATATCCCAGAAAGCTGGGATTTTTCATTTCCTTGTGCGATAACGATGCAGAACATTTTGTTCCCGCAGGTGACTGACGATAGGGTACTCGCTCAGCAGTGCAGCGTGATTACAGAAAAAGTCAGCATTTTAGTGATCCGTAAACCAGAGGCTGACGTTGCCACTTTAGATTTACGTCCAGCCTCACTATAAACTTTATTAGATCTTTTCCTTATAGATTTCTGGAGCGCTTGTTGCAGCCGGACTGCTGTTCCGTGTGTGTTTGCACAACAAATACAGATAGGCAAGTCTGGTTTTAGTTATTCCTGTCACACAGAGAACCTGCTGTGAATGACAGCATGCCAAGGAGTTAATGAAAACTTGTTCTCCAACATGGATTTTTAACTAAACAAAAACACTGAACCAAGCCTTTCAGTGGTCAGTTTAAGACACATATTTGACCAATTATATATATTTATATATTATACCTGCACTAGGATTAATCCGAACTGAAATTTTCTGCCTTAAGTGTACACATTCGCGTATGTCACGTTATATACATAAGCGTATCAGCTTACAACAGAAATGCTTACATATGTGACATATCCGAGTACGGTCGCCCTCTTCCCCGGCTGCTCCGTCCTCCCTGCACTGCCGCCGGGGGAAGCGGCAGCGGGGGCACCGGACCTGCGAGGGACCCGGTGCGGGGTTTGCTGCTCCCGCCCCAGTGCTAAAGCCGATTCCCAGGAGCTCGCAATAATCCTGCAGAGGTATAAAGCCAGGCCGCTCTCCTGACAGTCGGCTACATAGCCTGTCCTTGATCTTTACACGGCATTTCCCAGTTGCATGAAGCTAGAGTAGCATATGGTCCCGTGTTTATAAGCATGTTAATGACTGAAATGGGAAACTGTACAACCCGTTTTCCTTATAAACTTTAAACTGCAATTTCTTATTTTTGTCATTGGACGCTGCACTTGTACCCTGTTAATTTGGCGCAGGCTGTTGAGACGCACGTGGCCATGCTGACCCTGGGCACTGGGCCAGCCAAGTTGCTCCGGACACACTGATATACCTGAAATCAGGGTCCGGCCCATAACATAAACCAGATGAAGTGAGTAAGCTTTCTACTCACCATCTGCTACAAAAAGTTGCTTTTCCAGGGAAGCACAATAAAGAATTTGCTTCAACACCAATGACTGCCTGCTCTTAGGAGCACAGCAACCTTGCCAAACGTTTCTCAAAAATAAAATGTCAATCAGTTCTCACTCTGCGCTTTTTGACTAGTAGGGACTTTACAATTCTGCTTCAACTCCTTTGTGTTAAAAACAAGCTGTTTCACTTAACAAAAAATAGCAGCAGGAAGCTCCTTATAAGCGGTGATATCTTACTTAAAAACACACTTGCTGCTTCCAGGAAGGCATGAGTGGTACAGTCAGACATACCCATATTTTGCTTAACCAAAATGGATGGCAGGTATTTTTGAGCACACAGATACAGGTCTGCTACACGACTGCACTGAGAACTGCCATCCCAGGTATTCAAATGACAGAGAAAAGACATTAAAAAAGGAAAAGGTCCTTACTTATCTCTTCCTATCTAACAATCATTTGGATAATTTCATCTATTTGTAAATAGATTTCATGAATGGATGATAACTTGAAAATATCTGCTTTGTTCATGAAGGGCTCAATTCCTGCATGTTGTAACATCATCAGAAAACCGTTAATGGGACTGTAATCTTGTAGCTGAAAAAAGCTTATTTGTTCCTATTATTTCCTGAATGTGCACATGTATATAGGAAGGATATACCAAATAATATAGTGTGTGTACATGATCTTTTTCTTTCTATCAGCAGGCTACTGTTTATCTGCTTTGGAAGTGTAAAAAGAGTAAAACTATATCCTGAGAGCTGCTGGTGTTTTCTCATCAAAGGCCATAACACCTCAAAACGTTAACAAAGATATTTAAGAACTGACTTAAAGATGATCTCAAGAGGAGTTCCAGGAATGTCAGTTACGAACTTTAAGGACAAATATACTGGTTTTTAGTCATTCCAGCCCAGCTTGTGAACTCGCACAGTTACAGTGTGCCTGTCTCAGCCTTCTCATTAAAGACCATATTTTTCAGTGCAGCTTGAAACTTGGCAAGAAGAACTTAATCCAGTAGCAAATTTATTAAAATTTTTTAAAAAGTCATTGTGTCCATTTTTAAGTTATGGTATAAAAGTACAGAAAAACAGAAGTTTAGATATCTGAGCTGCTGCATCTGTTCTTGAGTAACTTTTCACTTAAAAATAAAACTTGGCAGACATTATGCCCGTAATGCGGACCAAATCCATTTGGTATGTTGAAAAAAAAAGCTAAACGAACAGTGAGAGTTAATTTTGAAACTTCTTCGTCGTGCATGCACTATTCTTGCTCCCCATGAGATCCCACGTCTCTATGGGGCCCCTGCACCCCCCTTGGTCATCCCTGGATGACCTGCAGGCACCAACGTCCTCCTACCCCCACCAGAGCATTCAGCCTCCTGAAATCCTTGTGGTCCCTCCACAGGTACAAAAAAATCACATTGAATGTGCCAGGAAAGAGAGGGCAAAGGCTGCAAACTTGAGAGGCTGCAAAGGCGAGGGGCACCTGAACCTGGCAGGGAAGCCGAGGGGAATCGAGTACAACATCTAAATCTGTATTAACTTTAGTGGAAAGCCCTCTAGTACTTTTCATCAATATTCATCCACCCCAAAAGTGATGCTGCCTGCAGGGTGGTCCCTAGCAGAATAACCCCCTGAGAAAGGCCCTGGGACAACACGAAGGGCTGCTGCAATGGGTGGAAACCCTGAGACGCTGGTGGAGACCTCCAGAGCGTGGGATGCAAAACTTCATTTTTTTCTAAGATAAGGCGACAGCCTTTGCCTTATGTCCCCAAAGAAATACAGAACAAGCTTCACAAGAGGAGCCTTCCAGCACTCCCTGCCCCACAGGGACCTGAGCAGGTCCTGATCTTGCCCTGATTTACAGCAATTTACTGGCATGAACCAGGCAGTCCCATGTGCCTTCCTCTGACTTGTAACACAACGGATGATATAAATCATTCTTTTACATTTTTATTGATAAGATTAAAATAATAAATTATGTGTAACCCTTCAAAAAAAAAACCCAGTAAGACAAGATATTTAATGGTCAAGTCTGTGGCCCCTTAGCTCAGTGCACTGTGTCTGGAGAGTGATGCAGAAATTGGCTTAAACTAATCCATGCATTCCTAAGAGATGCATGAGCACCAAAGGGCCACGCACCGGAGAAGGCACTCCGGGGACAGAAAAGACGTTGTACAACAGGGGAAGGTGTTCATGTGCCCTCCGTTGGGGGGCACAGGGCTCATGTAAGCGCAACAAACAGCCACCTCGAAATTTCAAAGCCCTCCTCTTCCTCCCAGCCGGAGCCATGGAGTACTTTAGTCCTCCTCTAGTCCTTCCTTATTGTAACAGAATGCTCAAGAGTTTTTTTCTTCTTTAGGCTTGTCTTAGTGCTGACAAAAACGGCCTGTAAGTGTCATTTCAAAAATCGGCTGCATAGCTCCATTCAAAAAGCAAACCAGCTTCATTAGCGGTCAACAACAACATTTAACTTCAATACTGCTGACAGAACTTCTCCAGCAAATGAGAGGATGGACAGGAGTGATCTACTCTCATAAAAGGGCACAATCAGGTGACACCCACTCCAGGTGACACCATCCACCAGAGCCAGCTGTATTAGAAATGATGCAGAAAGAATCCCTTACCTGTCCGGTAGACAAAGTTGCCTTCTGTCTCTGATGATGACGGAGACACCAATTCCTCCTCAAATTCATTGGAACTAAATGAACCAGAGTGATTCCTTTGCCTTGTTTTTTCCATCATAGCTGCATTAGTAGCCATGACATGTCTCAGTGAGTCATTTAGGTAACGATTCAATAAGCTGCTTTTGTATTTGGGGGGTGACACGTAATCCTCATTGGCACTTGTTTCTGGTCTCACTCCTGTTTTTATTACTGAACTTTCAGTTTTAATCACAGTGTGATGAACTGGTTTGTTATATCCCCCTTCATTCATATGGTTTCTTGGAGGATTTTCTCCATCTGAAAACAAAGGAAGAAAGATATAGTATTGCACTGAATACCTAGTATTTAACAAGACGCTTTCTCTACATGTTTTAAATTGCTATAAATATAACTAAACCTAGACAAATAATTTTAGACTTCAGCATTAGACAATTATTTTCTTCTGTTCACACATTGCTCACAGTAGTTTCCAGGGTTCTCAGATGCTCCAGCTATTACAAATTAATGAACTGTAGAAAACAGTGTCTGGGTCTAATTTGTTCATGAGCAACACCAGGCAGGTAGAAAAAAACTGAGAAGTGCCCTAAATCAATGATAAACATTTCAAAACCTGGGTGAATAAGCTGAATTCTTACTATCGTAACTTGAAATTTGCTTCTCCTGAGGACTATGACGTATTTAAGCTATTTGCTTAAACTGTACTCTTTTAATTGTCCTGCAACCAATCTTTTAAAGGGAAGTACAAACCAAAGAAATGTGAGTACAAACTGAAATCAGAACAGAGAATTGAAACTGAGTACAAATTGAAACATATTCTTCTAAAAATTCACATACACATTTCTGACAATGTTCTGCAGCATTTGTTCCTGTCAATGTATCTCCTTGTCACAACTGACTAAAAAAAGTGCCCACAGACATAATTAATACAAATGTTCTATTAAAAAATAGAAGGTGCTATTTAAAAAAATCTTACATTTGTTAATTTGGGTAAGAATTTCAGTGCACCTTTTAAGGAAAATGCTGGCTGGCAAAATACATTAAATAAATAACAGTAATATTCAGTTTACCATATAATAAACTCCACTGAAATTAATCACATTGTCTTGTTAATCAGATCCTCTTGCTAATGATGTGATATTGCTATAGCCCTTCCATCAAGGAAAGTACCAGTCAAGAGATATGTCATTTCCTTAAACCAACAAACGCAATCAATTTTTTCATTTAATGCAGATTAAAGCAATGTAGAATCTAATGAAGTAACAATTATCTTTCTAGTGACAATGTTATATGAAACAGGCAAATAACGTGCAACCAGACTGTCACCCCGATTAACCTACCCAATCCTGCTTTGCAAGACTGCATAGTAGCTGGGAGCCAAAACTGGCACCTAATTCACAGAAAATAAAGGCGGATCCACTGAGGGCGTTTTGTGAGAACTCAGAGCTAACTTAGGGTATCTGATACTTTATATTTTAATCGGTTTAAAATTGATAAAAAGAGCTCCAACAAACCTTCAGAGCATGAGTCATCACTGCTCACGCTGAGTCGCTCAGCATTTCCTTGAACATATTTGTTGTACAGTTTTATTCGTAGAGCCCAGCTAAGATCTGGTTGCCTGACAGTATTCTTCAGGCGACGTCTTGCATTGGCAAACCAGTTTGATACCTGCATACAAATGAATCTATTAGTTTCCCTTGAAAATGATGCAAATAAACAAATCTAATGCGTATAGATGTGATAATGTTTATGTATAACCTAAAAAATGGCAAACAAGGGAAACATGAACAGGAGTCCATGAAACTATCACTGAGCAGAGCAGGAACCTCAGACAAGAAGGCAGGTTCAGGCTTTCCACCCTTCCCAAGTGTTAGTAAACCCTCATTCTTAACAAGGTTTTAATTAAGGTGTCCCAAAATATTAATTTTATATCCATCTTTCTTTGTTTTTAAAGATAATACCCTGAACTTTCCATACGAATCTTCGCTATGTTACTAACATCCTAAATGAAAACTAAGAGCTAATGTTAGGTAATTTGCCTTTGACATTTATGTAGGCTACAATAAGGCTGTTGAACAGAAAAAAACATTCTGAATTTGGTTACGTAAAAGCCCAAATTCTCCCTCATGCCTTATCAGTACTCTGACATCTACTGGGTATCAGGAAAGTCTTACACAGAATATAACCTACGTTGAGTCACTGCAGAAATCAACTATTTGCTCTACAGAGCAGCAGCTTTTATGAACTCTTTCTGTTATAGAAACCCTAAAAAGCAGCGAAGATGCAGATTCCTCACACAGGGACTACTAAACAAGAGACAGGCTTGTCTTCGTTCTTCTTAGCTGCAGAGCATTTTCTAGTTTGACACTGCAAAACGGATAGATGTTAGTATCCCTCTTGCATAGAGGGTCACCACAAAGTCAGGCTCAGACACAAGGATTTCACAGTGCTTTAGGTACCAAAGGAGCAAAAGGGCACGGTATAGTCTTCTGTGCCAGCAATGCTAAACAAACCACCAAATGGGATGCGTGTACTTGCAGTGACTTTGCACGAAAGCATACCTGAGAAAACGCTGGCCTTGATTCTACTGTAACTTGAAAATACATAAAATAGGAAATACTGATACTGACAGAGTGACCTTACCATAACCTTACTACGAGCAAGAGCAGAGGCAAGCTACCTACACTCTAACAATATTTGTTTAGTGATAAATCAGGTCTTAAAAATGCTATTTACTCCTTGCAGGAATAAGTGTATTTTGACATGACCTCTGCAAGGAGGAGGCAGAGTAGCATTACTTGCAAAGGAGAATATAAAGAATGTCGGGAGAGTCGATAGCCCCACTCACATCTTTGTGTTGTGAAAGTGCACACAGAGGAAGCCGAGACTGCTGCAGTCATATTCTGACCCAGGAACAATCATACTGTTTAATTCATGTTAACCTGCAAAGCAAGTTAACGCATGTTTTATCAATACATGCTACCCCACCTACTAGAGAGCCAAACTGTAGACCTCAGTGTTGGATTTTGGCCCTAATTTTGTCATCCGTCTATTGTGGCTAAGGTTGTATAAATTGCACAGAAGTATTTGGCTAATTATTCTGGATTGATAGTCTCTTCCAGGGTGATTGCGAGAAAAAGAAACACTATCTGCTTGAAGGAAAAAAAGAACTTCGGTTCAGAGTCCCACCCAGAGCTTAGCAGTGGTGCCTTAAGCCTGTCACTTCGATTTTACTTAAAATCACATTTACATGAAGCAGGGTTCCACCGAAAATACAGTGAGCCCCGGATCAGCGCTCAGATGCCAAACACATAACTTTACAAACCATGTAGTTTGCTATGACAGGTTAGAAGACCAAAACTGCAGCTGGCAGAGAAGAGTAAGTAATTTTCATTCTCTTCCAAGGCTACTTGTTTATATTCATCATATTGACACAGCAATCATTCATTACAGTAAACCAGAAAGGGTGGGCTGGAATCCATCCACTTTCTAACGCCATTAACAAACTCACTCCAGCCTGCTCAGCTGAAGCAGCAGTCACCTGCCTGCTGCATGATTTAGTGTAACTCTGACATCAAGTATGTAACGATAGAGGCGGATCAATCCAGGGTCCCACTGAACATTACAGCAGTTACTGCAGCATCTTACAAAACTGACAGCTTTCCAACATCTCACTAGAAAGAGGTTCATTATGCTCCATTTCATTACATATTGAAATATTTCATCAGCAAAGTGCCATGTATAGAAAAGAAAGATAGGCTAGTACTAGCGTGACTCATACATAAAAGCAATTAAATTTAGCAGG